CGATGTGGGGCTCGATCCCAGGACCCTGGGATCATGACCTGAGCCGAAGGCAGACGCTTAACGACTGAGCCACCCAGGCGCCCCTATGCTTACTATTTCTGTTCTCTCGTCCCTTGCCTACTTCTTTTCCTTCTTCCCATCATTTCATTTCTCTCTTGCTAATCCTTACCTGTCTCCTCCCCCCACCCCCATTTTAACCATTCATCTACCCTGGAAAAGACCAGAGGCACAGTGTTCTACTTTAAGACTTTTCTGAAGTCTCTTTGGATACAAGCCTGGTTGAAATCTTGGAGTCCTTTGAGTCAGGCCTGAAAGAGAACCTGAAGGGCTTCCAGCTCCAGTGTAGGAGTCGGTGTGCATTCACAGTGATGGGGGAGAAACATGTTTACACTTCGAGCTTATACATGAGATTTTCTCAGAATGGCAGGAGAGAAAACATGAGAAAGGAGAACAGTTGTAAGCAAATCAGAATTATGGGCAATGTATTCAAGATATGTAGATAGTGCACACCTTGAATTTATTTGTAAAGTAGTTTCCAGTTACTAACATAAAGGAGGTACCCAGTAGGCCTTTTTTTCCTGGCTTAGGTATTGAATGGTTTAGTAAGTAAATGAAAAATGTACCAGTCTAAGCAATTTGTCTTATTTATAGCCATAGGGCTATCTCCAAAAACTCATTAGCAAAGTAAGTTAAATAAATAGTACGAATGTGGTAGAAATAGGTGATTATTGCTTATTCTCAACTTTCTTCTATACCAACTCTCATGTTATATAATTGGGCTAATCTCAAGTATAATGTTCAGTGTACTCATATAACTAAATAATAATAATAGTAATTTGCTGAGTGTTTGCTATTTGCCATACTAAATTTTAGGAGCTTTAATACCTTATTTCCTTTAATGAAAAAAGTGCATAATTATTTAGGCATTAGTATGTCTATATTACAGATGAGGAAACTGTGACTCAGAAAGTTTAATTGCCCAGAGTTGCATAACAGAAAGGTTTCCTATCTCAAAGAGCCTAACCAACAACTCATGCCATTAATCATCACGTCATTCATTCATTCTTCTCAGATCCAGATATTTGTTTTATCTGCCTTAGATTGCTTAAGTATTTTTGTATTTTAACATTTATTATTTATTTTGTATTTATTAATTGTACAGTGATTAATTTAACTCCCATTTTGATGATGAAATTAAGACTGGTTGGGTAAGGTTATTTATGCAATATAGACAACTAGCAAGACTGCTTCAGGGGAAAGATTGATGGTACAAACTCTGTTTCCATGACACTGTTTAGCCTATTATTCCATGTTAAAGACAACAAAGTGGTGGGTGGCCCAGGCACTCCTTTTTCCAGGAATCTGCCCCAGCCACAAATATTGTATTTTAAACCGAGTAACCTAAACTCAAACATGATGCACTGTCTAGTCACAGGAAGTGAGTGATATCAGTGAGCAGTAGCCATAGCAAGGAATATCCAAGGGGATAAATTAACACACACACACACACACACACACACACACACACACACACAGAGCTATTGCTGGAGAAAGATGTATGAGAAATAACACATCCAAAAATGGGGCTGAAGCCATGCTGGAGTGGAGGAGGAGAGGAAGAAAAATTTTGCTAATGTCCTGAGTGACAGTTGAAGTAAAGATACATAGAAACATCCTCCCTTCTGCTCACAGTTCTAGAAGTACTGGTAGAATCTTACATATTTTGACATCTGAGAAAATATTTGGATTTTTGCAGATGTGCATTCCCTTTGGCCACAATGAGATGATCTGTCACCTCAGTGTGAGGACTAAGCTATCATTAGTGCCCTGTATATGAAGATATTATTTTTTATAAGGTAGTTTTTCCCTTCTAGAAAGTCTCCACTTTAGAACTTGGCCGAACTTCTCTTTCCCTGTGTCGGCTCAGTCTGTGCTATATATTGGCTTGGCAGTGTATATTGTATTTTATCTCATGACTTGGATATGAAAGTGTAGCCTGGATTCATTGTATGTTGATATGATTTATAGAACATAGACCAGAGGAACTCAGGAAGCCCCCAAGTTGTGTAAATAAGAGTAAATAGAGGAATTTGAAAAATATGGTCTAAAGTTCTGCATACTAAGCTATATATATTTTATTCTTTAAATAAAAAACAATCAAAACATTAAGAGCAATGAGGAATGTTCCTTCTTTTTTTAAAAAAATGGACAAAACTCAAATATGAAAACCAGGTGTTATGATCCTTTGACTCCAAGAAATGGATGCCTCTGAATTTAGTTCCCTGGTCTTTAATGTGTGCTAACTTGCTGATATTTAGCTTTTAAATGGGTTAAAATGTAGCATTGCTTTTTCCCTGTACAACTAATACATTCTATTGTAAGAAGGATAATGTCAATAATAATGTATAGCATGTCATACTTTAAAAACTGTTTTCACGTAGGCTCTCATTTGATCCTTCCAATAGCCCCATTAATATAGCGACAGAAAAGGAAACAAAGGCACAGATGTGAGCATGCTCAGGAGAGTATTCCACAGACCTTGTCACATGACTTTCTGTCTAGTTCTCTAAGCCCCTACTTCCCATTCTCACGAATATATATTGCTATTGAAATCACTCGATCTTATACTTCTACAGAGCTAGAAAACCTGGAAAACCTAGACAAAGATAAATGGAATTATTAGCCTTCAGTCTAGATTCTAATGAAATATGTAATATTTTCCCTTGGGATTTAAATAATATTGTGCGACAAAATGGGAAATAAAGCAAGTAGAAAAGAGTTTGAATATTTTTAGAAGAGATTTTCCAGTAAAGAAAAAAAGAGAATGGCTCTAGTTATTTAACCTAAAAAAAAGTATCTAGCAACCTTGCTTTCTATCTATATATATCTTCATCTATTAGTACACAACTATCTTCATGTTTCAAATATATTGCTTTGAGTCAGTGCTTGGTCATGATACTAAAAATTGGCCCCAAAGCACATCCAACTGCATCCAAAGAGAATAAGCATTACCGAAGAAGTAAAACAGACTTTCTCCCTATAAATGGATTAAATTGTCCAGAGTTCAGAATTCCTGCATGAAGTAGCAATTTCCCATTCATAACAAATGGTAGACATCAGCTTAGGAGGTTGACTGCTATTTCCTCCAACGTTTGTTCTCTCTCTGTCTCATCGCTCTCTCATCTCTCTCTTTCTCTTTCTTTCACCTCTCTCTCTTTCTCTCTAACTTTACCATCTATCTATTGTACATGCTTTTGTAGAATTTCAGGAACAGCTTTTCATCTGGAAAATATGGCTGCCTGAAAGAGGTATGGAATATAACAAAAGCTTTACCCCAAAGCTTCTATGCATTACAAAAGCTTGCACTTGGATAATAGAAATATTTAGCCTCAGGTGACTGAGAACACTTACTGTTGGTTGCATAACGTATGGCGGATGAGGCATCCATGAAGTACTCTGGACCTATGCATCAAACAGCATTTATTAGCACAAAGCAATCACAGAGAGAACTTGGTTCTTGCGTTCAGTGGAGTCACACTAGGTCATAAGAAAGTGGAGTCCATCTGACTTTATAGCTAATTAGTGCTCAGAACTAAGGATAGAAAGGAAATTCTTGGACCTGGTTAATTTGGTCCCCGAAACATGGTAAAATGTAAGCAAATTCCTACTTCACTGGTGCTGGCTGCAGTGCCCACGTGGGCCAGGCTGGGCCTTGGAGCATAATTTGAGGTTGGTGTCAGAGGCTAGAGCCTTAGGAAGCCTCAGGGACCTGCTACTTAGAGGTCAACTCCCAGGGTAGAAGTAAGTAACGAAGAGTTGACAGCTAAGGCTTCCTCTTTTTCTGTCATTGTTTCTAATTTCAAATTCTCAAGTGATCCCATCTTGGAAATAAGTCCAAGTGGTCAAAGTTGGGAGGAGAATTAAAGAGATCAATCAGAAATTTGGGGGAATGATTTGGGTTAAACTCAAGTTAAGCAAGTTTGTGATTTTTTTCTTTCATGGTAGTCGGTATGGCAAATAAAAATGAGAATTTGAGCCAACCAACTGTTCAGAAATGTGCCTTGTCAGCCAAATGAGAAAGTCAGCTTGTAAGGGCTGATTGTCACATAGAGAACCCTGAACACTTTGTTTTCAATACGCTCACACTAACAAAATCGCCAATGAACTTTAGGTTAAAAAAGAAAGTGGTGAAAGGCGAGAATCAACAACAGAGGAAATTGCTCTGATTCCTTTTTTGAAAAAAAAGGAGCTAGAGTTAAGTTCCACTTATGAGCCCTCCCAAGTGAAATCACTTTTCTGTGGATATTTTATTCATGTCACCAAACTGCTCTACACTGGGGCTCACTGGGTGGTCTTGGCTGAAACATAGGCCTGGATTTTTTTAAAAATGCGTAAAACACACACACACACACACACAAAAAAAAAAAACAAAAAAAACCCCAAACACACATTACAACCAGGCAGGCCTGCAGGAAGAACAAAAACGGAACAGCACCTGCACATAGCCTCATGGGTCCCAAGAAAAGGCAATTAAGAAATCATCCATTCTGAGACCCTCAAATGCAATTCACATGAAATTCTATTCAGTTCACCCACTGACATGTATCAAGAACCTAAGTGCAGAAAAAGAATGAAAATAATCTGCTTCAGGGGGAATCATTTAAGGAAAAATGTATATAGTCTCAAGTTTGATGCTCTGACAGCTGGGACATCCTGAAATGAATTATGTAATGGTTGAATAAGGTGAAACTTCACTGAATTAGTAGCAGTCAGCGACATTACAGTTTTACCCATTGTAAAACACCCACCGCCACCGTCTGCAAAATACAGAGAAACACATGCATGCACGCACGTACACTCTCTCTCACTCTTTCTCTCTCCAAAGTTGGGAAAAGTGACACTAGGCACCCTCTATATGTAGCGTCTATAGGCACTGTCTAATTAGAATTAGAAGAATTGTCTGAAGAACAATATGAGGTAGAGAGAAGCAGGGAGTAATAGCACCTTTGATAACTCAAAGGCATAAGACAAGGAGTATTTTTTGAGGGAGAAGTATGACTATTTCAATCCACCTGTGTACTTAGAATTGACTGGCTACAACACCTGCTTTTAGGACACACATTGAGTCTTGGCTTTTTTTGTTTTTCAACATGTGGAACCCGTAAGGTCTCTTTTGACCTCTTTGGGACTGAGAATGAAGTAAGAGCAGGAAGCAGGAATAACATTTTACTACTTTGAGAGTCCTCCCTATTTCTTGGGGAAAATGATTTAACATCTGTCCATGTAAACCTACATGGACACACAGGAAAACTGTGACAAAATGAGAAGACAATGATAAAATATCCTGGAGTGAGTGAGGGGAATGCCCGACGTGTGCTTGTAGAGAAGACACAACAGGGAACGTGACAACCCAAATAACCGACAACCACCAAAGTAGGTTCTCAGTGGCAAGAAGGCTGCACTAATTAATGTTGGCTGGAAAGGAGCATAATCATAAAAACTCAGCCGGAAGAATGAAGAACACGGTGGACTTTAGTACTCAGTCAAATAGATGCAAACAAGCCCTTCACAGTGTGGGCTAAAACTTGAGTATTATTACATGAAGATGTGACTGATGTGTTTGAGGATAATTAAAAAACATTCTACTGTGTCCCTTTTGCCTCAAGATAGTCTATCATTGGCCAGAAAGACCTCTCCTCAGGTGCAGGTAAATCGGACATACCTGGTATGTGGAGACAGGGGAAGCAGCAATGAATGGCGTGATAGATGTCTGTGGAATCATGCGGTTGGTTGCAATACTGTACGGTGAAGAATAAAATCTGCAAACAGAAAACAAATAAAGAAGATTCATGAAGCTGCTGCATGCCTGGCTGCTAATCAATTGCTACCAAGCACCTCTGGGAAAGACAGAGTCCACCCTCATGTTTTTCCACCAACTGTGAACAGGAGCATCCAGGAGATTTAGCATTTGATGCCACTAAGAGAAATAAATCGTTCTGAACAAAATGACAACTTTGAGTCATCTTATAAAATTGGCTGCACAAAATCTCTTATGCCAGGTGAGTGTAATAGGATGTTTAACCAACTGGGGGAGAAAAGCCATGAGCATTATTTTTTTCTTCGTTTTTCTTTTCTTTTCTTTTTTTTTAGGCAATGCTAAAGCTCTTTGAGGGAAAGGCAAAATGATAGCACCAAGCTTTATAAAGGTGGCCAATGTTACGTGCACACAAATTGCATTTATCTCTTCATTTAAGAGAATAGGGTCAGCTCCTAGAGAGTTTCTATATGATTTGTGCTAGGCAGAAGTCCATGGTCTCATGCGGAAACCAAGCTAAATATTTTCTTCCTGAAAAGAGGAGGAAATGGATAATTTGTGATTTGTGTCTAGCTGGGGATAGGAGTATTTTCTGGATTCAATCAAGGAGAGTCTAGAGCCCTGTGATATATACTCCTGTAGACTTGGTGAAAAGCACTAAGTTTTTGAGTCTTTCAGAGCCCTTCATCAAACAATTATAAAATGATACTGGGCAAGATCAGGGTTTCACAAATCAGATCTTTCTACAGATCTTTCAAAGGGCATCTTCTAGGTACTTAAATCAGTGACACAGCCATCTCTGCTCACACTATACCTTATAGAGTTCACAAGCTACCTAATGCTCAAATTTGTCAGATTTTCAAATCATGTTTCTTCCTTCCTATCTCACTGGTAAGTGAAAGGCCAGAGTGGCCAGCCACTGAATGGAAAAAAACAGGTTGCCTTTGATGAATTGCTTCACTGATGTGAGGATAGATTGGGAAAATGGGTTTCAGTGGTAACAAAATCATAATTTCATTTTGCTGTACTCTTAGCAAAAATCAACTACTACTTTTGATTTTTTTTTTAATAGCATCACTGAAGTTGGAGTTTTGGGGTCAAAAACTTCACCCCTCAGAGGTCACTGATATTTTGAATAGAGACTCTCATAGGTTACCATTCTAAAGAAGCATTCTACAAAGACTCCCCCTGAATGTAGGAGAGCTAGATTTCAAGGTTTCCAGGATTCAATGAGGGGAATTCCTTAATCTTAGAGTCTGAAAAGTCTTCAAGCAAGGATTGGGGTCTATAGTCTTAAATTTACTTTATCTAGCTCTTAACAAGGATTATAAGGTCATACTCTTTTGGTTAAAAAATTGCAGCTGAAAGAGTTACTCTGTTACACATTACATCCTTACTATCCATACCCATCAGACCTCTAAGTTTACAGTTGTGCAGTTTAAAAGAAATGATATTGACTGCATACATATTAGAATGGCAAAAAGAAAAAAAAAGAAAAAAGAAGACAATCCTAGTGCTGGCAAGGATTCAGGGAAAGTGGGCTTCTCATTTGTTGCTGGTGAAAATGCAGAATGGTATAGTCATTTTGGAAAACAGGTTGCCAATTCCTTATGAAGTTAAACACACACATACCTTATAACACAACAATCCCAGTGGTTGATATGAACTCAAGATAAATGAAACCTTAAGTTTATACAAAAACCTTAAAGCAAATGTTTATAGAAGCTTGACTGATTGGACTTGCCAAAAATGGGAAACAAGCCAAATATCCTTCAACTACATTGATAAACAAACTGTGGTACATCCGTACAGAACACTACTAAGCAGTAAGGAAAGAACTACCAATACATTCAACATGATGAAACTTAAGTGAATTATGCTAAATGAAAGAAGTCAGGCTCAAAAGACTCTATATTTTATAATTCCATTTATATCACAACATGAAATATGCAAAACTATTAAGAAAGAAACTATACAGATCAGTGGAGGTTGAAGACTGAGTTTGGGGGATGGAACCGACTATAACGATGCATGACGGAATTTTGGGAAGTGATGTAACTGTTCTGTCTTGTCTGGTGGTTCTATGACTGTGTGCTTGTCAGAACTCACAGGTTTGGACACTATAAAGAGTAAATATATACTCTATGTAGATTATACCTAATAAACCCAACTTCTAAACAAAATCAATTACTGTGTAAGCAAACATCCATCTTTTCACTTAAAAAGAATTATCGATCATTTACTATGTGAATCAAAGATGGGTAAGATTCTAAAACATTACATAGTAGAGTGTCTCTCTTGAGCCACTTAAATTGTATCTTATCTGTACATTAATCAGCCTAAAATCTTCCAATGGCTTTTCATTGCAATGAAAACAAAATTTTCATTCCTGGTATTGGCTAGCACAAACAGGCTACCACCTACCTCTCTAGTATTTTCTCCTACTCCTCTAAATCAGCCAGCCAGGTTCCAGCCACATTGATCTTCTTCTGTTGCATGATTCTGTCATTCTCACTTCTGTCTTGGGCCACTAAACCTATAATTCTCTCTACCTACAATGCTTATTTCCACAAATCTCCCTAAGGCTACCTCTTTCTCATTATTGGTCTCCCTCACTTATCTTTTCTTCAGAGAGGTCTGTAGCTAAAGTAGCAACCACCATCTCCACCCCATTTGCTCTCTATTCTTCTCCTGTGATTTGTTTTGTTCATCATTCTTAACACCATCAAAAGTAGTGATTTTTAAAAATCTCTTTATGTATGTTATAGACTGAATGTTCATGTCCCTCCAAAATGCGTATGTTGAACTCCTTTCAATGTGTCTGTATTTAGAGATGGAACCTCTCTGGAAGAAATTAAGGTTAAATGAGATCAACAGGGTGGGGCCCCGATCTGATAGAATTAGTGTCCTTATAAGAAGGGACACTAGAGAACTTGCTCTCCGAAAGGCTGGGTGAGGACATAGTGAGAAAGCAGTCATCTACTAGCCAGGAAAAGAGTCCTCACCAGAAACTGAGTTAGCCAGACCTTGATTTTAGACTTCTAGCCTCCAGAACTGTGAGAAAAATAACTTTTGTTGTTTAAAACCATCTAAACAATGGTATTTTGTTATAGTGGTGGAGCTGAATAATACAAGGTACTATTGACTACCTTCTCCCTCTGGATGTCAGCTTTGACAAAATTGAGGACACACTGGCTTTGTTGCCTAGAATAGAGCCTAGGACATAATAGATACTTAAGAACCATAGGTTGAATGAATGAATGAATGAATGCAAAGAAGCTTAGGGAAATAAGTAGTGATTTCAGTATAGGATGGCCAATGCCAAGATGGTGGGAGCATAGAAGATGGGTTCCTGAGCCAGTAGAAAGCTGATGGGTGAGAACCCAAAGAGAGGCCAACATTACATGTTAGTAAATGTTCAGTGGAAGCTTAACCAACGCTTGCTTTCTAAGCATGCAACAGTACTAGCAACTAGGAAAAAGAGTCCTTTCTACAAAAATCATGATTTGCACTTAAAAATCCCCTTTAGGTCTTATCCTTGACAGATCTTATTTATGAGGAAGTGAACAAAAAGACTTATTTGGGGCTCATAATGACCCCATTCCACCACTGCTATTCCATGATCACTCCACAAACAATCTTTCTTATTCACTATGTGGTGGTTTAACTTCTCTTAGAAATCCAGTTGCAGCCTCTCCCATCAATGGAGTGAATCATGCACTTGATTCTTGAGCGTGGCTTGTTTACTTTGCAAAATGTACCAACTGAAGTATTAAAAGTGAAGGCAACGAGGACTGGATTGACAGGCAGAGTTTACAGGGAATTTTATGGGGAAAATGGAGAAGAAACATAAAGAAACCAGCCAACTAAACTGATACTTACAAAGGGAACCCTTGGGGGAAAATTTAATGCATTTTTTTCTATTTGCTCTAATACTATCCAGCACACAAGAATGATATTTCATCCTTACCAGCAAGTTCCAATACTGCCACTCAAGTCAGAGAGTTATTTAGAATGGACAATGTACTGGGAAGAAGAGACTCAGCACACCATCTTGATCCCCTAATTCTGGTGGTCTGAAATAAGCTCTTCCCAAATCCAAACATAAACTGCATGAATTTACAGGGAAACCCTTGCTTAAACCATGACAAGAAAGGCTGCTATTGCATCTGAGGCAGAGAGGTACCATATCTAAAGAAAATGCATCAGGCCAGGCTCTGTGAGAGAGAACTGTAGGATGAGTTTCCCAATCCCTCCAGTTCTTAGTCCCTGCCATGTATCTGTTAGGGTTTAAAAACACTCCCACATGGCCATGACGTTAAAAAACAAAACAAAACAAAACAAAAAAACAAAAAAAAGAACATCCAAATGGATGCTTTAGGCATAGGTATTATTGGGGAACAGGAAAGAGAAAATTGACAGAACATTTTAGCCCCAGTAACAAAGCTTAGGTAATCCTAAATATGTGACTTTATGTTTTTATGTCTCATAATATATGCATTGTGCCTTGAAAATGCTATTATAGAAAACTGGGAATGAATTCTTAAACCATTTTCCTGGGAATAGTTTACTCTTTTAAGACACACACACGCATACACACACACACACACATATTTTTTTTTGCTAAAATTCACATAGCATTATGTGCATGATAAGTGTTCCTTTTATAATTTGTCCAGTGGTCCTAAACTAGAAGTGATTTTGCTCCTCAGGGAACATTTGGTGACAGGATCTGGAGATATTTTTGGTTGTCACAACTGTGTGTGTGGGCTGTTACTGGCATCTAGTGGATAGAGGTCTGGGATTTTGCTAAACATTCTACAATACAGGGCAGCTCCCACATGAAAAATGATCTGGTCCAACATGTCGTAGTGTTGAGGATGAGAAACCTTGCCTTAGGAATATGAACTAGTTGCTTCTGGAGAGATTTCATTTGAACAAAACACCAAATGCCACAGTGGCTAAGAGAGTTAACTTAGTATGATCTATCTACAGAACTCTAAG